CAAGGACCGAGAGGGTGATACAGGTAAAGAGGCAGATTCCAAAGACACAGCTGCGTGCTAAAGGACATGAGAATGTTCAAAGATGGCGCAGGTAACAAACGATGTTGGGAAGTCTTGAGAGGTGGAAAGAGAACAATGATGAGGGATCAGGTGGCAGTAATAATAGGGGGTGTCAGATGAGCTGCTGGGCCTCCACAGGGATCTGTCCACTGGCGGGAGGACAGTCTTCCTGGCCTTAAGGAAGAGGAGAGCTTTCAGCATGGCCAGGGAAGCGTTTGGACATCTTGGACTATACAATATCTTCTTTCAGTCATGACGGTGGTAGGGGGAAGACATGCTCTCTGAGGCAGACCCTCCTCCAAACTACCAGCTCCTGTTTCCTCTCCCCTGCCAGGAGCTGGCTCAGAAAAGAGAGTCAGAAATACGTTGTGTGTTAGGAGGGACCTCTATGTTTCTGGAACAAGGCTCTTTCTATTTGGTTGCTCAACACTGAGAACACTTTTCCTTTGGCAAAAAAGGCAATGAGGAAAGGTCAACTTATTCATTAATCTCTCTCTTATCTACTCAGTGTCTGAATCTATGCCATATTTTCTTGTGCCCTACATAGCAACCACTAAGGAGGGCATAAACACTTCTTCTGAACTTGTAATTATGTGTAATGTTAGCATCACCATTTTAAGCAGCAAATTCTGGGCAGTTCAGTTGTCACCCATGCTGTCACTCGAATAAAAATATCCTGTTATTTCAGTGCCCTTCCTTGACAAAGTACTATAGAGCTGGAAACACCTCGGATCACAATGTTGCTGGAAAGGAGCCAATTCAACAGAGTAAGATGTGAGACTCATAAAATCTTGGAAGTGACCTCACTGAGACGCAGACATGTGCACGTGAAGATGCTGCCGGGCTCCCAGGAGCTAGTAAAAGCTCCCTCCTCTTAGCTTGGATTACTGTCACTCCTTGTGCTTTCTCCTCCTGCTGAATGCACACATCATCAAGTTGGGGGAAAAGACTGCACTTAGGGTATATAAATAGTCTCAATTACTTAAAAGAAGAAGGTGGCACTTCGGATTTCTGTTTACAAGTTTGTTATTCGCCTTGTATGTAATTCACCTATGTATGGAATGGGCTCATTAATGAGAAGATCAAAATCCAGGAGGAAGATGTGAAAAACTAAGTCACATACAATTATACTACTCAGTGATAACCACTGTTAATATTTTGATTCATTTTCTGCGAAGCTTTCTTCATATATGTTTGTTTCTTTATACACACATGTCTTTCTTAGTAACTTTTTCTTCTGTAGAACAAAATCTCCTATTAGATCAGAGTAAAATATAGAGAAATCAGTTTTTACTTTCTCTAGGAAAAAAAGTATTTTCTGTTTATTGTATGTGCTGCTGAAGTGAGCACAGCATTTTCTGTTTATTAAAAAGGCATTAAATGAATCCGAGGGACAGGTTTTCAAGAGAAGCATCTTAACCAATGAGCTTTGGATATTTCCTAAGTTCTATTTCAAAAGCAATTTGTACTGTGTGTATAAAAACATACTATTTTAAATGAAAGAATAATTTTATTATAAAAGCAAGTGACTTTTTGTATAGATTCAGAATACACCAAATAAACTAAGAAACCATGACTTTTAAGAATTGCAGAATTAATGCACAGGTCTATAAATAAGTGATCCTGGAGTCCATAACTGGTCCACATGCTTACAGATCAACAATTTATTTGGTATGATAACATGGGCCATGCTAACAATCTAGAAAATACCAGAATCTTTCTGGATATTTAACAACAGATTTGCATATGACGACCGCTAACTACTGTGTAATTCTGGGTTTTCAGTTGCTTTTAGAGTATATTCTGCCACATTTACCTAGATAAATATAAAGAGTGAACTGGACATCAACTTGAACTTTCTTTAAAATCATGGAAGAAAGGGAGAAAGCAGCATAAGCAAAGTCAACTGACAAACTAGGAGGAAAAAATTACAACTTATATCGTAGACAAGGGTAATTGGCATATTTAGAGTTAAAAATTCAAAGACCAACCCTCCTCACCCACCTCCCTGTAAATGGGGAAAGGATATCCAGCCAGGCCTCCAATAAAAGAAAGGCAAGTAACCCATGAGTATATCAAAAGATCCTCAATGGTTTTGCTTAGTTGAAACTTAGGGAAATCTATTAGGTCTTGAGTTTCTGAAGAAGTACATTTTAAAGGAGGGCTAGAAATTATCTGTTGGGAATTGGCCTTTCTTAGAATTAAAATTCCCTATCATAAGAAAAAAATGTAAATTCCTCTTTTTCCCCCAGAATGCAGTAGGTCAGTGAGTATTGCGATTAACCAGCATCTGACGCCTGGGACATTGAATCTCAAGAAATTCATGAGATTTTATGCCCGTGACATCAGTGATACATGGGAAATACTGTTTATACTAACTATGGGTAAAATACTGAATTGTCTAACTCCATTTGTATTGTTGAGTAATTCTGTTAACCTCTGGCCTTACATTTTTCATCTGGAAAGCAGGGCTGGACCAACTGGTCTCCAAAGGCATTCTTAGTGCTAACAATCTAATTTTTTTTCTCGTTTCCTTTTTGTGTACACGTAAGCGTGAGGTGTGAGTTCAAGCCTATGACATTTAAATAAAATGTTCTGTCTCCATCACTGTAATGGCAAAGGAATAAAAGATTTTTTCTTTCTAAATCGGTGTCTGGAAAATGGTTTGTAATATATTTACTTTTTAAAGCCTTCAAAAGCCAAGAGGAAACAACATGAATATGCATTCCTTCCGAGAAGTGTCCTCCTTTCTGTACTTAATGGTTTCAGAATCCCTGTGTAAGGTGCGGCTTACCACTGGAATGTTCTTGCTGGTAACAGCTAAATATGAAGGTCAACTGGCTGGCAGGTGCTTACCAGGTACAAACAGGTGGCACAGCTCCCAGGGCCAACATCAAAAAGATGGCTTATCTATGCTCTGTTTAGCCATTCTCTTTCAGCCTTTCACAGCTAACCTAGTGTGTAATTCACCACGACAGTGGAAAGCCTTTTCTGAGCGGACTCACAGGCCCATTCATGCGGCTACCCCCACCTCTGAAAAGCATGGTGGAAATATACTAATTTAGAATCATCTAACATTAAGATTTACTGCACAGAAGTTGGCCTCTGTTCAATGACATCCCCACACACCTACCTGCACCCTAGTGCCATTCATAAAGCCTTAAAGGAGATCTAGCACATAGCTCAAAACCTGGTCGACACACAGGCATATTCTCCGTGCTGTCCTCTTTGTCACTTTGGCAGTGTGACAAAATCTTTAGGGGGCGTTGCAGGCACCAGGAGCCTTTACTCTCCCCTACCTCACTCAAAGCCTTGATTCTTGAGTTCTGTTCCTGTCCAGGCTACAGGATGTTCATTGTCAACACTCTCCCTTTGAACTAAGTCACGAAAATGATCTCAGGGCTAAGGGACAGACAGTAGCTCCACTTCATATCAGAGCTTGCACTGCTGATACAGGAACGTTGTCTGTGCAGACAGTCGTAGCTCCCTCCTTTAGACGCAAACCCCACCTTGTTCCTAGTGTCTAAGAGGATTAAAACAAAATCTCTCAGCACTTTCCCAGCACTTATTTGGTAAATCCACGCTGGGGGAGAACTGGCAGAGACATGTTAGATGCACCTGACAGCAACGCCCATTTATTTCATGCAGTATTCAGAGGCATTTATTATGTACCTACTACAGACCTAGAACTGGAGCCGCAGCAAGAAAACTCTGTCCCTGTCTCATGGAGCTTGTCCAGAAAAATAGTGAACAGGGCTCAGAACCTTTCCAGTGGAGCCATAATTGGGGCAGATGAAAATAAATTAATCAATGTGAAATTCTCCAATTATATTTAGAGTGGCTTGATGAACCCCAGGTAGAGACTTTACTGATTGAAGGAAAGTTCCAGTAAAACCCCAATTCTTGACTCTAATCTAGCTTGTGTAACTAGGAAACCAAACACGTATTTTCCCATCTTTGGGGAAAAAAAACTTTTAGGGGTAGAAATAGATGGGAAAATGTTTTCATCTTACTGAGATGTAACTGACATATGCCATTGTATACAGACGGCTGCAGAGAACAATAGATTGTTTTCACAGTAAGTGTCAACATTGATCCAGAGTATTTCTGTTCTCTCACTCTTACAATTCTAAGAATCAACAGAAATGATAATTCCCCCTCATTGAGTTTCCAGTGTCTTCTTAATTAGACCTCCTTCAATTAAGTGTCATCACAGTGTATGGTTTTTGATGGAAACGTTGGGGTTCGGGAGTGAATGGTCACAAAAGATTTCTTTTAGAGGTCTTTAGTGCCAAAAAGGTCCTTTTATGAAAGCACGTGGACAGGACCCCTGGGCACAAAGCACTGCACTGGGATTGTGAGGAGCGACTGATTATATACTTTCAAGGGGGAAGAGGGTGCAGTTAGGTATAGCATAAGTCTCTAAGGAATTTGGAAGCAAGGTTTCCAGGACCCTGAGGGAGCTAGCTATTGTTGGGAAAAGGTCATGTATTACTGTCTAATAAAACCTTAGTCATGAGACCCTTCAGATGTATTATCAATCAGCCATATGCTTAGAAGATGATTGCTAACATGTATCTTGGGTGGGGGAGAGAGATAAAGGAAGTTTCTGAAGGAATTTTCATATGTTAAAGAAGACTTAACAGGATCCTGGACTTCTGGGAGCTAAGGCTGCCTTTTGCCTCTAGCAAAGTATTACACTGAGGGAGTTGAGATCCTGGAGTAGGGTCATCCTGCCTGTCCCAAGCACTTGTCAATGGGCTGTAAGCTATAAGAAAGTTTAATTTTTTTTCTTTTGCCTAGGTTCTCCACATAAGTTTTTATAATCCAAGATACTAAGGTGTTTATTTTATATATCAGTGCACAACTTTGTGTCATACGTGCTATACCCAGAATCTGGAAGAGTCAATTCCAGAATGTCTTCAGTACCTTTCAGATACAAAATTTTAAACATATAGAGAGATTTGTAATTCCAGAATATGAATCTGAAGTTTATACAGAGAACTTACATTTCCTTCCCATCCTCTCATACCTTAGTCTGTATGATGCAGGTTTGTTTTCTTTGAAAACTGTAGCAGTTGAAATATAGGTTGGATTTAATATTTTTTCCTTACCTGATTGCAAATGTAACATAAGGTCTCCATAGAAAATTAGAAAACACAAAGAAAATGAAATATCCATAATCCTATGAAGTATTAGCTAATTTTGGTATACTCCAACTCTTTTTACGTGTATCAATATACTCATTTTACTGTACTAAAGAAATACCAAAAAGCACATACTGATTTGGAATCTTTTTCCACTTACATATACATCACAGTTTCTCACATAGACTCTTTTACACTGCCTGCTACATAGACATTCATACCATAAAGCCACCTACCAAAAATTCCTTATACTTTGGCTAGACACTTAGGATTCATTTTTCTTCCAAAATTATACATCTTT